CTCGAGAACCTGGGAGTGCTTCACGTGGGAGGAGGGAGTGGGGTGGAGACGTGAGGACTGTAAGGTTTGCCCGTGGAGCCTGGGTTTGGCCGGGCTGGCAGAAGGAGAGAGCCTGTCCCCAGGCCTGGAGGTGGAGGCCAGGGAGGGGCAGGGTGCAGCGTGGTGGCTTAGGAAGACAGGCACATTTTGTTCCATAACGGGAAGCAACCCGCGGAGACTTCTGAGCAGGGAAGTGACTTAAGCAGGCGTGTGTTCCATGTGCATGAGAGGCACTGATGATTTGGGGCCCTGAGCTGGGGCCTCTCAGGGGCTCCGGGCAATGGGGAGCAAGGCCTAGACCCCCAGCTGCACGGCCTGGGGCACGTCCTGTCACCCTCTGAGAATGGTGTGTGAATTACCACACGGACCTCCACCTCCCAGTGATAGGCAGGCCCACTGAGACAGGTGGGGATAAGCTGAGGGCAGCCGTTTGGGTAAGCACACAGAAAAGAAAGAAACAAGACTGTTTCTCTATAATAGAAATCAGTCTTTCGAGTGTCGCTGGAAAGGCAGTTCCGAAAGAATTTCTAGAAAATACGGCTTGAGCCAGGTCAGCATCACTGGATCAAGAGGTAGCATGGCCCCTCAGCCCCGTCCCCTCCTAACTGTATCCTTGGGCAGATCGCTTAGCCTCTCTTAGCCTCAGTTTTGCCACCTGCAAAGTGGAGCTAACCTCACAGGCTGGTGTTTTTGCTCGTTTGCTTGTTTCAAACACTGCTTCTTGCACTAAACCTGGGTATTTGATGTCACTCGTTTAAAAGAATCCTTATGCAGTTGGCCTCACAGGTGTTTGAGGATTACCGTTCAGCCATGCGTGCTCCCAGTCTGGCACCGAGGAGGCGCACACCCACACACCCTTCTTTCCCTCACGGAGCTGCTGCTTGCTTTGCCTCCCGGGAGGCCTGGCCTGCCTGGCCCCGGTCACTGAGCTCCTCCTTCCTGGGAAGGTCCGTTTGTCATGTTCCATCGACTCTTGTTCCCAAACCTGGATAACCCCCGTGTATTTGAATAGCATCTGCTAAGCTAAATGGGAATTAGTGTGTGTGTGTGTGTGGGGGGTCATTTCCTTTTTTTAATAAAGGGGGTGGTGTGTGCAGAGCTGCCCATCGATGGCCGTGTGGGGAGCAGAGGGAGAGGTGGGGAGCTCTGAATCCTGTAGGCCTGGGTGGACCACAGCTGGTCCCTTGCCCCACAGCCGGCTCAGTGTGCTGGAGAAAGGGGTGCAGGGCCCTAGAGGGGTCTCAAAAATGAGCTTGGGGTCACCTTGGTCTGGACAGTGAAGCCAGCTGCTTCTGTGAGTGGGCACATGTGGTGGCTATTGGGTTGTAGGGTGGCCCTGCCACATGCAGTCACCGTTGAGAGAAGGCCTGGGCCCGAGTCAGGCCGTCTCTGGCCGGGTGTGGGGTGGTGGGGACCACTGTCGATTTGAGTGGAAACCATTTCTCCGGTTTGCACACACCTGCACACAGACCCGTCACAGGGCCAGCCTTCTGGAGGCTGGGCATATAGGGACCGAGGGCGTGGGGGGATAGTCAGCTGAGATGTACAGCTTAATTAACCTGGCATACCCTGATGGTGTACATAATTGTGTTGCATGGTAATTAAGTGTAAATGGTAAGCAGTTCACATAAATGTTTTTGTAATTGGTATTAATTTTGCAAAGGCAAACGAACTTTATGTGGCTCTTCTCTTCTTGCTCTGGTAGTTTCCTAGCACAGGCAATTCCTAGTCTTGGAGGAATTCTATTGCAAATGTTTGTTTATAGGGCAATGTTTTGTATTTTCTCTCAGAACAATGTTATGAATGGTTATGAGTTTCCCAAGCTGGTTTCCAAATGCCTCTTTGGCCCATGCCGTCGGTGGAATGTGTGGCGCATGTGCGGGGAGGCCCTGCCTGGAATCCTCCCCTGGAGCCTGGAGCCTGAGGTGTGTGTGTGTATGTAAGTGTCTGTTTGTGTGTGTTTGTATGTGTATCCGTGTCTGTGGCTTTAGAGCGCCTACAGCCATGATGGCAGGTTAAGGGCTCTGCTAAAGAGGTTAGCCACTGTGGTGGCAGGGGGCCTTGGGCTGGGGAGTCAGGAGGCTCTGGGCATGAGCTAAGAGAGGGGACTCTGCGTCAGGCCACAGCAGCTGTTCCCAGGAGCGAGCAAGAGCCACTCCTGGGTGTGGTCTTAGCCGGAGTCTAGGTTTCCTAAGGACACTTCACTGGCCTTCTGCCCTGATTAAACACATAATACTTTTTTTAAAAAAACTGATGGTTAGATGTGCCAGGCACTGTGCTAAACGCTCAGCTCAGATAGACTTCTGAGGTACGCACCCACTCACCCCATTGTACAGATTGGGAAAGCAAGGCCCGCGTCTCCGAGTGGAGGAGCCAGGACTTGAGGTGGGGTCCAGCCGAACCTCCTTAGGCTGAAGGGGTAGATGAACTGCACCAGGGTTGCTGGGCCAGGGGCTCATGATTCTGGGATGTGCTGCCCAGTACCCTGGGGCTCTTCTTCCTTCCCTGACCCCTCCACAAACAGTTTGGTTTGGTTCGGTTGGGGCAGAGGGTGAGGAGAAAGGCAACCAGAGTGTAATTCTGATGGTAGAACACTCTTTGCTGCCTTCGTGAGCAGAGAGGGGCTGCGCTCCCACAGCGCCTCCCAGGTTGTGAAGACCCTTTAGGGGAACCTCCTGGTTCTGGCCTGGGCGTGGGTCAGCTGGGTGGTCACTTGGTCAGGGAAGAGGGTGGAAAGGTGCAGGTGGGAGAAGCATATGCGGGGATGGTGTGGGGAGAGAATGCACAGGCTGGCCAGGGACTCAGCCTCCAAAGGCCTGGAGGGGTGGGAGGCCAGCCCCCCTGCTTCCTGTGACCCACTGGCACCCTGACCTAGGACCCTCATGACCCCCTTCATGCTGGGACACCTGGGCGCTGGGGGGGCCTGCATGCCCCACAGCAGGTGTACATCCTGGTCTGGGCAAGGTGAAGCGGGAGCCTAGGAGCTCCTGGCCCAGGGCCTTTCCTCTGGCACAGTGCCTGGGGACTCTGCCAAGCGACCCCTAGAATGGGGGTTGTGGGCAGTCACTCTAGGCACCGCAGCACTGTGCTGGGGATGTTGCAGCTGCCTGGGAGTGATTTCACACAGTCCTCTCTGCCTCCAGGGTCCCCCGGAATAGGGGCAACAGGGGCAGGGCAGGACGGAGAGAAGCACTGAGCTTTAGTGGGCAGCAAGGTGTAAGACATGAACTCTAACCTCATCTGTTTGGGGAAACAGACACATCTACATACAGACGAAAAGCTAAATGACCACAGGACAGAGATAATTAAAGAGCCCTTGGCGGGCGGGAGGGGGGGAGCTGGGTGTTGAGGAGAAGGGATGGAGAGGGGTGGGGGTTGCTAAAGGAAGGGGCAGAAGGGGACTGGTGGGCCCTCTGGAGGAGAGAATGGTGTGAGTGTAGACACAAGTGTAGAAAGAGGGGGTGTAAGCTGGGGGACAGTGCCTGGCCTGGAATGATGGGGTCATCTGGGAGAGGTGGGGGGCAAGGTCTGAGCAGTCTGCTGAGGCCATTGGTATAGGGGTGTAGGGTCAGACCAGAGTTTAGATTTTACTGTGTTTAAACATCCTTGGCCTCATAGTTCCCTTCCTTTTTAAAAAAAAACACAACACAATAGCTTTATTGAAATATAATTTATATACCGTACAACTCACTCATTTGAAGTGTGCAATTTGATGGTTTTTAGCACCTTCACAGAGTTGTGTCACCATCAGCACAATCAGTTAGAACATTTCCACCGGGCATGCTGGGTTTTGACTGGGGAAGCTGTGTGCAGGGAGCCTTGCTGAAAGGCTTGGGTGCAGGTAGAGACTCCAGAGGCAGCGAGGCCCGGGGCAGAGTAACTGCCAAGCTCTAGACCTGCGGGCAAAGGGCCTGGAGGGAGCGGTGGAATAGAGGCCGGATGGCCAGGTGTCCCATGGAGGGTGGGGACTGAGAGCAGGTGGGACCTTAGTTCTCTCTGGAGTTTGGGGCTTTGGCGGCTGAGGGGAGGGTGCTGCTGCTTCCACACAGAGAGAAGCCAGAAGAGACTGAGGCGTCTGGTTCTAGGAGAGGAGGATTTTAGGTGACTGCAGGTCACCCAGGTGGAGATGTCCAGAAACTAAAGATGGAGGGGTTGCAGAAGGAGGGCTGCATTCATTTCCGCCCACATAGCTCAGCAGAGGAGAATTTGGGGCATAGCTGAAGGCAGAGTGTGGCCGTGAGGGGCCCCCACTGTGCAGTCGTGGGAGCAAGATGGAAGCCCGCCCAGAAGACAGCAGAGGAGCCCGACGGGTGGGAGAGAACCAACAACCTGGAGCCGAGTGGAGTACCGGGGGTGGGGGGGAGACAAAGACTCCGCTTGCTTGTGACCTTCCAGGAGCTGGGGTCTCTTCACCCCGTGCCCAGCTCCGCAGTGGCACTCCATGCGTGATTGCTGAGAGTGCTTGAAGCGGGCGGTGATTACCTGGCAAGGACGCTGAATTGAGCTCGAGGACCTTGCGGTGGAAAAAGGCCGTTTGAGGCTGTGGGCGACTGTATCAGTCAGAGTGCGTTCAGGAGACGGAAACCACATGGTGATTTGAACAGGAAAAGTGTAATATGAGGGCTTATTAACTATAACAGTTGGCGTATGAGCGATTAGCTGGTAAGAAGTAAAAAGAATGGCGAAGAATATAGAAGCGGCATGTATGAGAACAGCCACTACCCACAGGGTTGCCATGGAGTACCCAAGGAAGAGGCCCTCCCCCAGCCTGAGATCCTGACCTTCATGGAGAGGCCATGGCCATGGCTGCCTGGGTGCCATGTTGGCAGAACTTACTAGAAACCTGTACTCTGGAACTCACTGGAAATCCATCCTTTTGGGTCCCAAGGAACGTTGTTCATGAGGAAGTATGTCGCTGGAGCACACTGCTACTAAACTACCCAAGGCAGGTGTTGGGTGACATGCTGGCTGCTGCTGTCACACTGCACGAGCCAGGTGCTGGAGAAGCTTATGTGGCGCTAGAGCCAGGTGCTGGAGAAGCTTATGTGGCGCCGGAGCCAGGTGCTGGAGAAGCTTATGTGGCAGAGGAGCCTGGTGCTGGAGAAGCTTATGTGACGCTGGAGCCAGGTGCTGGAGAAGCTTATGTGGCAGAGGAGCCTGGCTCTGGAGAAGCTGTGTGTGGCAGAGGAGCCTGGTGCTGGAGAAGCTGTGTGTGGCAGAGGAGCCTGGCCCCGGAGAAGCTGTGTGTGGCGCTGGAGCCTGGTGATGGAGAAGCTGTGTGTGAAGCTGGAGCCTGGTGATGGAGAAGCTGTGTGTGAAGCTGGAGCCTGGTGATGGAGAAGCTGTGTGTGAAGCTGGAGCCTGGTGATGGAGAAGCTGTGTGTGAAGCTGGAGCCTGGTGATGGAGAAGCTGTGTGTGAAGCTGGAGCCTGGTGATGGAGAAGCTGTGTGTGGAGCTGGAGCCTGGCCCCGGAGAAGCTGTGTGTGGCGCTGGAGCCTGGCCCTGGAGAGGCTGTGTGTGGTGCTGGAGCCTGGTGCTGGAGAGGCTGTGTGTGGCTCAGGAGCCTGATACTGGAGTGGCTGTGTGTGGCACAGGAGCCTGATACTGGAGAAGCTGTGTATGGCGCTGGAGCCTGCTGCTGGAGAAGCTGTGTGTGGCAGAGGAGCCTGGTGCTGGAGAAGTGCCCTCACTGCAGGAGCTGGGCACTGGGAGTTGCGTGTGGTACAGGAACCTGGTGCTGGAGAAGCTGCGACAGGACAGGCCTGGGCATTGGGGAAGCCACCGAGGCAGCAGAATCTGGCTCCTGGAGAGGTTGTATACAGTGAAGGACCCCTCCAAGAGAACACACTGGATCTGAATAAAGTTCCCTCTGCGGCCAGTTTCATGTGCCAGCTGGCAGAGGAGAAATCTGCACAGGGCCTGTCTGTGTGCACAGAGCAGGCAGTGAAGGGTGAATAACTGATCTGGTGCAGCCTCCTGCTTTGGCACACAGCTTCCACTGCACCGTTTTACACACGTGTGAGCTCCCCTCTAGCCACAAGACAGCTATATTTCTACCTGTCAAGACACAGCTATTCTTCCTGAAGGACACTTTAACTTCCTTTTCCCTAAATGAGGAGTCTCATCAATCATTCTGTCAATCTCTGTCTACATGAATAACTTCTAAAATTCAGCCACAGCCCCACCGAATATTCTACCTAGACTCAATTATAGACTTAACTTCCAACAACATAATATATAAAATAGTGGGAAGAAGGAGGAGAAAGAAAACAGTTACCGTGTACAAGCAAACACACACACATATATCACGTAATAGAAAATATGCAAAGCTACTGCATGTCTCATTTCTGTTTTTGTCCACAAGGTCACATTCAGTATCGGGCTTCCCGCTCCCGTCACCCATCCTGTTTTCCTCTGGGCCCAGCCAGGGCCTTGGCAGGTCAGGCCTCTTTCACCTGGTGGGATGACCCCAACCTTGATTCTCAAAGGATCTGAATCTTCAGTTGTTCCCCCTCCTTTTTTTTCTTCTTCTGGAGTTTTCCATTTTCCAGTGTTACTTTTGGGCGTGGAAGTTCTAGGAGGGAGCTGAGAGAGTCCCCTGGTTGCAGGCAGTCTTCCCTGCCTCTGGTGTGTACAGCAACCCGGTTCTCCTTGGGAGCCAGGATCAGTCACTCCAGCCGGGGGAGTAACTCCTATTTTTGTCTGTTGGTTCAGTGGCATAAGGGGTCCGGAAAAGCCAAGAGGAGGACTTACCTTCCAGTGGAACCATTGTGTCCCCTTTGGGGATTGCAACATTCAGTGCCCCTAGAGCAGTGATTCTCTACCTTGGCTGCACATTAGAATCACCTGGGAATCTTTTTAAAATCCTGATTTCTGAGCCCCATCCTTCGGCAATTCTGTTTCTTTGTTACTAATGTTGTGGCCCCACCCCATAACGAAGAAACAGAATTTCCGGAGGATGAGGCCCAGAAATCAGGATTTTAAAAAGATTCCCAGGTGATTCTAATGTGCAGCCAAAGTTGAGAACCACTGCCCTAGAGGATTCAGAGATATAGGAAGGGGTGGGGATCAGATGCAGAGATCCAGGGGAGGGTAAATAAAAAGTCTCTGCAGCTGGCGGATATGGACCATTCTTTTTTTTTTTTTTTGTATTTTATTGGTTTTTTACAGAGAGAAAGGAAGAGGGATAGAGAGTTAGAAACATCGATGAGAGAGAAACATCGATCAGTTGCCTCTTGCACACCCCCTACCGGGGGATGTGCCCGCAACCAAGGTACATGCCCTTGACTGGAATTGAACCTGGGACCCTTGAGTCCGCAGGCCGATGCTCTATCCACTGAGCCAAACCAGTTAGGCGTGGGGAGCCCACCTGACTGCCAGAGCGCGCGCACGCACATGCACACACACACACACAGACACACACACGGCAGGGCTTCTCCTGACCCGCCACCCTCAGAAACACATGCTCCTCTGTGCAAGGCTCTATTACTCATGTTGGCTCCGAAGAACAGCGTCATCGCCTTACCAGCCTCTATTTTGGATTTAAACCTTTTTCTCCCCTCTCCGCGTGTGGGGCTGTGTCATGGTAACCTTTAGTGCGAGCGGAAGAGTCTGATTCAACTCATCTCTGCCAGTGTGGCCAGCATCGCGGCAGCAGATTTGGTGTGACCAAAAATACTCCACGCTGGCGGTGCCCTGGCCTCGAGGGGGGTGGAAGAACCACACGTCATCCGACTGTGATTCCGGAGCCAGGCAGATGGGCTTAGTGGGGAGAGGATGGAGGATTGTTGGGTTGGCTTTGGTGTATGGGCAGCTGGTGGTTTGGGTGGAAGGGATGTTTCTGAAAGTCAGGGTAATGGTATGATGATGATGAGCATCTCACTCGTGTTGAGAGAGAATGAGCTGTCGGAAAGTGTCTCTGAGACCTCTTCCTCCTTCTCATCCAGCCCCCGTCTTGTGACTGAGAGGCTGTGGCGGATAGACATCTCCATCTAGAGGCCCTGATGTCTCCCCTCAGCTTTCTGCTGGCCCCCAGCTCACCAGGCCCTGGCAGATGATTGGGCGACATGGGCACCAGATACTCTCCTGCCTCTGTCACCCACTCATTTGTAACTCCTCCCAAGCTCAATAGGAAATTCAGCCAGGAGGCTGTTATCTGTGGGCTGGTGTCACATCAGGGCACAGATATGATCTGGGGTCTGTGCTTAGCATGCTGACCCATGGCTGAGTGCTGACACATGTGAAGAGACTCCAGCATTAGACAGACCTGGATTCCTCATCCTGCCCTGGGACTTTCCTCCCTGGGCTACCTGGAGAGGTAATAAATCTCTTTAAGCCTCATTGTCTCCCAGGAAATAACAATAGAACCTACTTCACAGGATTGTTAGGATGAAATAGGACAACGCATGTCCCTTAGCACAGTGCCTGGCACCTGTTAGGCAATCAGTAAATGGGCAAATGAATAAATGAATGGATGGCTCCCACCTTGGGCTGGGATACTGATTATAAGGTTGTGTGCCTATCACCGCCCCGGCTCTTGCCCCCATGGCAGACCTAACCAGGACAGGGAGACTAACTGAAAATGTTGTTGTCTGACCAATCCATGCCCGAAGTTAATGTGGCTGCGACAGTCCCATGCTAGTTGTAAGAGATCATGCTGGAGGGGAAAACTGGGCGCTGGGGTGGGACAGACCTGGCGTTGTATCTGGCTCTCTCACTTACTAACTGGATGACCTTAGGCAGCTTCGTTAACCTCTCTATACCTCATTTTTTCACATCTGGACAACAGGGATAAAAATAGTACCCACTTCAGAGGCTTGGCATGAGCATGAACAAGATGTTGAGATTGTAATGCTCTTCACAAGACCCGGCATGTCTGGGGAGCGTGATAACGACACTCCTGGTTGAGCAGCGGACACTCGTGGCGCTCCAGTGAGTTCAAGAAAGAAGGGAAAGCTGTGGGCTGGTTAGTCAGGAACTACTAATTGTTCAAATGGATGGAGTCTGTTTTTGTGTGTCAGGCTCTCTTGTAAGCATTGTAATGCATTTCATTTTAATTCTCACAACGGTCCTATGAAGTGGCCACTCTTATTTCCCCCATTTTACAGCTGAGGAAACCGAGGCACAGTTTTGCCTCCGGGCACACAGATGATAAGTAATCACACAACAGCCAGGACTTGAACCCGCATAGTGGGCCTCGCGGGGAGGATTTGTGGAGGTTGAGATTAGCATATGAGTCAGGACTGTCAGCCGCAAGGCACAGACTCACTCACGTTGTGAGAGGTTGACAGATGCCCTGCCTCCGGGTACAGCTAGATCTAGGGACGGACAGTGACTTGAGTTTTCCATCCCTCTGTCTTCATCCCTTTGTTCTCAGGTGAGCCAGCAGCTCCTGACTCACATCCTACCCTATTAGCATCTTTCCATTGTGCCAAAGCCTCCCTGGGAGGCCTCTGATTGGCCCTGCCTGGTCACATGCTCACTCTGACTGAAGTGGGTGTGGGGTCAGCACAACCAACCAACACCTCCATGGGAAGGAGGGGAAGGTAACTAGATAGACTTAAACAAGCGAAGTCCACTGTGGGAAAGTAGACTTCAGATAAAGGGAAGAAGGAGGACCTGCTAAGAGATGGTCAGCATTTTTCAGCAGTTCAGATAGAGGACTTGAGATGGAGTGGAAAGGGCTCTTATGGTGATAACATCAGGACCGCTGTTGGTGGAGCAAGGATTCAAGTTTGTGGGCAAAGACAGTTCTGTTTCTGGAAGAAGGCAATTCTTTGAGCCCTTGTTGAGGTAAGACTGTGGGGTGACAATCTAGTTGTTGCTGGTTGGAGTATGCTTGGATTGAGACTTGGGGTGATCAGCTTGGGAGGTGCGATGGGGTTGGTGTTGGTGAGGAAGGTGGGACTATGTAGGGACAGTGTCGTGGAAGCTGATATGGCAGGGGCTGTCTGGAGGCTCTGGGAGATGGCTGAATTGTGGGCCTTTGGTCAGAGGTGGGCTAATGAGTGAGCCATGGTCATGGTTAGGGATGTAGGCAGCCATGGCATGCACAGGTGCAGTTTGGGAGGGATGTGAGGGAGGTACATCACGCTGTGCAGGGGCTGGAAGTGACGTATTGCAAGAATTAAATATTTCGTGAGTGGGGAGGAGGGGCGGGTGGGGAAGGAGGTA